CAATTGATTATTCATGTCATATATAGAAGTAAGTGTATGTAAGGGAGCATTTCAAAAAATGGAAAGAAGTGTTTGATTTATTATGTAAGCAGTTTCTTAGCAAATAGAAAAGATAAAACCTTCTTATTCTATATTCTAGCTTGTAAATATCTGTAATTTGAGTTTCTAATTTGTATGAAACTATAGACTCAGTATTTTGATTTCACAAACATCTAATTTGAACCATTGCTGCATTCAACATACCACATGACACAAAAATAGATGATTATCTGCATTTTTAAATATTTACTTTTAAATTAACAAATTGAGTAATGTATAGTTCTAAAATCTGAATTATAATCTACAGTTTGATACCAAACTTACTGACATAAATTCCAGAAATAGTAGTTCAATAAAATTTGGAATGCAAATCAACAAACGAGATGCCTTGGCCTTTCACCTGTGACAGTCTCAAAAGGGTTAAATTATATTGTTTTATTGCCCTTTGAACTGTGTCCAACTAATATTCACACCAAACAAGTTGAAAATCACTTGGTGAACATGTAGCTCATGTTACTTTATCAAATTATATAATGTATGAGCTATTCACAAGTTGCTCACAAGCATACCTCATACAAAACTTTTTATTAATTGCCTTCTTTATTTTATCTAATCTAACCTTATTTAACCTAAAAAGTTTCTACTTTTTATGGTTTAGATACTTTTATAATAATAAATAAAGAATAGTATGAGGAATATGTTTATCTTGAATATTTAAAAACTTACCTTTAAAATTTTCCCACATTTTATCAGTACTACTGCACTAAATTTTTTATTTAAATAAATAATGCATCAAAGAACATAGAATAATAGCATGCAAAAAAGCAGACAATGCTCCTTAACTACTACAGTTTTTTGGCTTTCTAACTAAGCGGCAAGAGCCATTAAAATTCAGTTAAGCTCATTGATGCATTTTACATAGGAATAAAGTTTGGAAGTGAAATAGACTATTCTCTCTACAGAAAACATGATAGGATAATATGTCATTTGATAGATTAAAGCCTTGGAACCCTATTGGTTATAAATAATATAGTATTAAATATCAGAGAGAACTATTGGCAAATTCTGAAAGAGAGGATGAGATAGGTGGATGTGGCAAAGGGATCTGATGTTTTATTTTATGGCTCTGTAACCAAATGAAATTGAAAGCTATAAAAATTATGCTTAGCCTGAGCAATGACAACATTATAATGTATAATTTAAGCTAAATTTCATTCTTCTTTAAGGGGTAGTAAATAAATTAGAGAAGAGGGAATCCTAGAGAGCAAATGTCACAATTCTCATAGTAGGGGAAATTCAAATTTTTGAAAAATATTGTCTAATAAAACTAAGAACATAAAACTTGTATAATACTAAATTTTGGATTCTAAGCTATGTTTTTATGCTAAATTTATTCATACACCATGATAAGAAAATAGTTGAATTAAATTTTGAATGTAACTCACTAAAACCTCATGACATGTACAGAAAAAGATGCCAATAGCAAATGTTAAGGGAATTAATAGTGTTGATGCATCATCCTTTTTCATACTTAATGGTACGAATGGTAGGCCTAAGAGAGAGAGATAAACACAACTCTTTGCATATTAGGAATCATCCTCAACTAAGACAGTTTAATTTTTCTAACAAAATGGTTAGCATTTTGAATGGGACGCCTTCAAACTTAATAGATGCAGTAAATTTAAGGGAGTTTAAGGGAAGGCTAGATTAATATTTGAATGATACAGGCTGGCTTTGAGTTTATCTTAAAGTTTAATGGACAGGATGGCCTAGATGGACCAGTAGGTCCCTTGTTGTCCTTAAATTGCATGATACCTTAATATATTGCAATAGAGAACATTAATGAAGTTCAGTGTTACAAAAACCAGTTTATCTTTTCTTAGCATAAGTAAGCATTAGAATGGCAATCCTTTGGTTAGTGTTTAATCATTGCCACATATATTTCAAGTATTTATATTCTTAATTAATGAATTTAATTTTTTAACAGGAACTTCAACATAGTAGATTCAGAGTTCTGTGTTTCAAGTAAACTGAATTAGGTGGCAAACTTTCAATAGGAAATGACAAAAGTGTTAAGTGGTAAACCACAGCCATAAAGTGTCAGATCTATTTTAGTCAACACCAATGTCACTTGGCTAAGAAGCTTTTACATGTATTTTAAAAATATCTTAGACAACTTAATTATCAGATGAGAAGTAATAAATTATACATTCTCTAATAGGCAAACAGCCAATAATGGAAATGGTCCCAATGGTGTGATGAAAGTCCATTTTTGAAAATTTTAACTGTTTCTAAAAGATTACTTAAGAAACAAAAAATATCATAGCTTCTCACCCTAGATCAAATAGTTTCAAGCCTTATTTACCTGAGGTAAACCAGCACCTGCAGGGGACATTCTCTGAAGAAGGTGAACAGCAGCAGCAGGGGGTGGTGCTGGGCTATCTATTTTTTGTAGAGATGACAAAACGTCTTCCTAACATAAAATATAACACATCCAAAACAATTACTTGTTATTAATGCTGTTGTATGTAGATATATTTCACTTCTTCCAAAATTTTCTTTTGTAGCTCCTGATCCATTCTCAAAATGATAAAACTAGATCAGAAATTTCAAAGTATTTTAGATTTTTGTAAAGGATAAAGTAGAAGAAATAATAAATAGCTTAAAATGTTTCACCAATATCATTTGAAAATGATATGTCGATAATCAAGTAAAGAACATCAGGATAAAAATCCTGAGTACTTGTAAGACCTTGGTACATAAACATTTATGTTCTCAAACAAGAGTAATTAGCTTACTCACTTCTTCAGTTTCACTTCTTGTGACCTGCTGAATTGTTTGATTTTTCCTCCCTGCATCTGAATCTTCTCCTAATGGACTTTGACGTGGAGCAGGACTGGATGAGTTCTCACTGGTTCCTATGCATGGGTTCATTTCTGTTGTCTCAAGCTGACCAGCACTGACAGGTAAAACAGCTGGAACTAAATGGACACTAGGTAATTCTGGACTATCCCATAAAGTAGTACTTGGAGAACCACCAAACGTGTTTCGAGGCAAATGATATCTATGTCTATGTATGTTATGAACCTGACTTGCATCTGGTGGCTTCTCTAGGTTATCAGGTTCCAGCATTATCCCATCATGGTGGTGAGAGGAAGAGACAGAAAGACAGTGGTGCAAGACTTCTTGCTGCACAATACCTAAATAACATATCAAGCTGTGATGAACAATGGATAAAAGCCTAACTAATCAAACAAAGACTAGAAAAATATTGCTGAAACATACAATGTGTAAAATACATTTAAGAACATCATCACACATCTGAGAAATAAATACATCAGAGAATTCCTATTTAAGAATTTTTCAAATTCTACCTCAAACAAATTAGCTATATTATCTGCTAGTGGCATAAGCATAATGATCTATAGCTAATATCAATAAAATTATTTAACATTTGGGAATATTGAGCTTAAATCATTTTGTCAATATACAAAAAATTACCATTTTAGCCATTTTTTCCCTCCAAAAAATAAAAACAAAGTCTCTCAGGCATATTGCCTACATAAATGTTAAGTTAAAATCAATAACACTAGTAAAAACAACTCTATCAAAGTAGCTAAAGAAGGAAATAAACATCCATTTTGGCATAACTTAATAGCTTGCATATCCAAGTGTAGTTGAATTTGAGGGAAACTGTTTCTTGAGCCATTCTCTAATTACAAGATTAAAATGCTTTTAAGGAATTTAGAAAAAAAAATTGTTTATTCACAGAAAAGTAACGAAATTTAAATAATAGCATTATACCTAATTTTAAAAATAAGGGCATTATTCAGGCTTCAGCCCTACATGTATCTAACTTTGTAATTTAAGTTAACATTTTCTTAAATTGAAAATGTATTTCCAATAATGCTTACCTCCTCTCACATTTATAGCTATTACTAGACTGCCAGGGTTTCTTCCTTTGCCCAGCTAAGCATTAGTCTTATTTTTTCTTGCTTGCTCCAGTCTTTTATACCCCACTAAATTGCCCTTTGCGATATTTATCTTGTGATACTCTCCACCTATGTCAATGTGCCCTCTATACTGGTACTGTATATAAGCACCTCATTCAGATAATGTTATTACATTTTCAAGACTGACTATCCCAGGTTCTAACACCAGCTCTTAGTGGGGATGAAGGCCTGGGGAGTGTGAGGGGAGGTAAGTATATTATTGGAACTAGATTTACAATTTAAGAAAATGTTAACTTCCAAAACATACTTACCTCCATTGACACTTATAGCTAGAATTTCACATTGAGAAGGTGGAAGGATCAGTGAAGACACTATCCATACAGAAAATGTTTGCATACCTTATGGATGTGCCAAAAGAAGATTGGCACCTTAGTGGAAGAACCACACTACATTCAGAACATGCATGCTCTTCACCCTGAACTTTGTTCCTGTATCATGGGTGGAATTGTACATGAATGATCATCACTATAGGCCATCCCCAACCAGATAGCCAAGATTCTATTACTCGGGGTTGGAATTAAGGGATTTTGGTCCCTATATCCTACATTGATGGTTAGGGCAATTAAACCACAACGTGATAAATAAATATATACTTGTGAGTGGATCCCAATCTAGCCATAGAGTGATGCATTCTGAGCCACTGGAATCATGACGAGAAAGTAAGCAACACAGAAGTGGACAAACATTCTCCACTACCTGAAGAAGCCCGAAAGGCAACACCCAAGACTCAGAATGACAAGATCTTGTATGTCTTACACAACCAAAGGAACAGAACTAATCCAGTCTGGAATTATGAACATCATCCTCACTCCCCAACCAAGTGGGCAAGGTATATTCCACTTGCCCCTGGAATTATGGGGAGGACATGGAACAACTGTACTTAACCAAAGACCCAGGATGGGACCACTGTGCATTCGGAATTATGAGGAGACAGTGGACCTTCTTCCATGAAAAACATACTGAATCAATATTGATCAAAAAGAAGGGCCATGCACACCCCAACCAGATAGCTGAGTGTCAAATCTGACCAAGTATTATAAGTAGACTCCTGTGTAGGCTGGTGCCACTCCTACCGACATCTGGGAAAAAACATCTAAGAACTCAGATAGGAGGGCCCATAACTTTGCCCTCTTCTCTGAGAGTTGAGAAAAAGCCTCTTTCCACCACCCCAGTGACTGGAAACTAGGTGTGGTAAGGACTCCCTAGCTCCACTAGTCTGGGGGTAATGTACATTGGGAAATCCTGAGAAACAATGCAATAGATGCACCAAGTTCCTTAAATTTTTAAAAGCAAACCAACCCCAATTTATTCAATCCAATGATCAGCAGGGATGGGCATGATCCACTTTAGTTTTACTCATGGTAGTCCATGAGTGGTGGTCCAGCATAGTATGGTAATATCACCTGGTGAGCTCCTAGGTAATATTATGGAACACCTCATTTCTACAGAGCCTGTTGCAACCGGAAGTAAATATAGTGAAATAGTGAAACAAAGGCATTCATGAAGAGATGGAACTCTGGATAAGGTGGCAGTAGAGGAACTCACATAGTAGAAGCATCCCAAATGAACAACCAGTCGAGATCAAAGAATGATACCTATGAAGGAAACTGAAGAAACTTGTGAATCAATGATTTAAGATCTCTTGGTTGCATACAGACCATTAAAAGGATTTCTTGTGCCCTCATCCCAAAGGCACAAGGGATTCAAATGATGCCCACATTCCCAGAAGAGAAAGAACCAGCTGTGCAGAGGGAGAAGGAGATGTGAGTACAAGTGTGGCATACGATTCTATAGTGTTAAGGATGGGAGTCAGCAGAGTCCAACTGAGAGACAAGATGAAAAAGAATACCCAGACTGATGACATATTGAATTGGAGGAAGAATAAATGCCTCAGCCCTGAAAAGGAAGTTTGCCTTAGTTGTTTCTGAAAGTAAAATCAAGATGTGATGTTCTGAAAATTGATGAGATGATGCCAGCAGAATCCAGTCATCCATGGAATGTTGTGTGCCCAGTAAAATGGAAAGGAGGTGACGAGAAAAACTCATACCTTATGGCCAAAACTATGCAAAGCCAATGCGAGTTCAAAGGTAAAAACTTGAAACTGCAGAACCTAATCCTTGTGCATAACAAGTGCTAATAGTGGTGGGACTCCCCAATTATGGCAAAATGCAGATACGAGCCGACTACAAACATGGATATCTACAATTCCAGTAAAAAAAAAATATCAACTCAGATTGAAGAATGAGTAACTTGTGAACCTTGGAGGAACTAGCACAATACTCTCACTATCCCCAGACCAACTAAACTCTGAGAGCCCTAGAATGAAGTTCCAAGTCCCAAGATGTGTAGGATACAAAAATCCTACAAGTTGGGTGATAATACTGGTGAAAATGTGATCTGAATGACTAATCCTGACTCAAGGACCTGCAGTGCTCCTGGTTCCGTGGTTAAGGTTACCGCATGTTAAAAAATCCTTGGAGCCAAGCCCTCACAGACCTTGAAGGTATACAAGAATCACCAATGCTGCAGGCAATCCAACTCAGCAGTGGAACCCTTGGATAAAGCCAGAATTTTTTTGGGGTGCCAAGTTAATGAGGGGGCTGATGTTGGGGATTGGGACCCATGAATAGGGGCAGAACTATGACCCCCCCCTGTAGGAGCCAATGACAACAGAGAGAGATGGAAAAGCCGAAAATTGAACCAACATTCCTGCTAACAATGGATCCAGCTCATCATCAATGAAGTTGGTAATCCTGAGAGTCTTCCAACTAATTGAAGTGAAAAGAAAACACAATGTTCGATTTCAAAGTTGCAAGTTCTTAGACTTAACCTTTCTCAGCCGTGGACATTGATTTAGTCAGGTTAACTGCAAACTCTGCCTTAGAACCCCAAAATTTGAGGAGCAGATGTATGATTTGAGATTCGGAAAATGCTTCCACCCGGTGGTGGTAAGCTAAATCATGAAGTTCCAACAATATGTCAGATAAGGCATAACTGTCCCTTCACATAACTGAGAAATAGACCTTCCAGCATGAACCACAACATCCATGGATGGAAAGAAAACAAAATTTGCTCCCAGACCTTTCAGCTATCAAATAAGATTCAGGCTCGAAAGGAACTGGTAAAATCTCAAACATCACAAACTGGAAGAACCAACAGGAGAAAACAAACCCAAGGCAGCTTATCCCAAAGTGTCCTACTTTCATTTCTTTTTTATAGGTCAGTTGAAGACTGTATTGATTACCATTGATTGGATCATTATTTGGTGAGGTAAATTTGTTTTGTTAAAGCAAAGCAACACTGGGCCACCTGGTACATCCACCCCAGTGAATTGAACCCCAGCACTGTGAGTCTGCAAACTCATCATTATCCCACAGAGGGCTGAAAAGCCAACAGACTAAAAGAAGGTGCAGGAAAGAGTGAATCTAAATTCTCTCAAGAATAGCCCTCAGTTGCAGCCTCAGAGACCCCTAAAAAACCACCACAGATCCAAATATATGTCTCCATCTCACAAAGAATAAGGTCACTGACAGTCTAAACCATTATGTGATATAATATTAGGCAATTTTTAAAATCACCATGCTGCAATTATGAAGTATTAAAAAAACAAACAAAAAAAACTAATAAACAATACGTAATACTCATCCACAATCTCTGTTAACTTTCTTTAACATTCCTCGAAAGCGGCTTTTTGTTTTCATTTAATTAGAGCTAGTCAAATAGTGTAGTTTACTAATTAACTGTCGAGCTCATTAGTTAATTACTCCCATCTAATTGGTTATTCTCACGAGATGGCCAAGAGGAAAAAAAAGGTTATAGACCTGAAAATAAGGTTCTGATATCCATGGTGGGCATAACAAAAATAGCCCATTGTGTAGCTTTGTACTTAACAATAAACAAACATCATGGCAATATTCTGATTACTGGGTACTCATAATAATCAAAAACAGTAATATCTGGAAACAAATTTTAATTAGATGATTATTTTCATGACAATAATCATAATTTTGATTATTCCAACTATCAAGTAATCAAAATAATTGGATTTGTTTGTTTGAAGTTAAGCCCAAAGCTACACAATGGGCTATCTGTGCTCTGCCCACCATGAGTGTCAAAACCCGGTTTCTAGCATTGTAAGTACACAGACATACCACTGTGCCACTGGCGGGCAAACAATTGGAAATAGTAGTTCTTTATTTTTAAGATATCAGTGGATTTAATTGTAATTTCAATTAATCAAATTTTTTGTGACACTAATCAACATAACCAATTCTCATAGATAATCAATTATGTAGACCAACTGCCCAGCTCTGTATCATAACATTTTGTTCAATATAATGTAACATCACTTCAAGTAGCAAAGAAATGAACAGTAAATGTTTTAAATTCTTATTAGCTTCTACTCAAAAGTAGGTTAACTATATAAATCAGAAATAAAAAGTCTTATAAGCTAATAAAGCCTATCATGAAAAAAACTTGCAGCTTACTGAAAGAACTTCATGTTACAAATCAACACACAAGTAGACTAAAACCTACAATGATTAGAATATACCAAATTGTCAGTTTGGCAAAAACATAAATTGCTAAATCAAGATTCCCAGTTTTACTTAGCCCAATCAGGACCATCTGCTTACATTTAAGTAGGTTATACAACTCTCAAAAAAAAATTTTCCTAAAAAACTAATGGATGAAATTGTTTGAAATTTGACAAGAACTTTCTTAAAAGTATGTAGTTTCAGAAAAATAAAATTCTGTCTATTATTTATACTAAAAATTTGTTATTTAATGTTGTTATTTGCACTTAAGCTCTGAACAGTTCACCAGCAAGTACTAGAAATAAAACCTCTTGAAGCTATTAGAGTAGTGTCAAAAGTCCAGTATACCAACATTTACGCATTAGCCATTGTTAGAAAATATTCTTAATGCTTATTTTATGAAACAAGAGGGAATCCTCAATAGCCACAACATTTGAAATTCTTTTAGGCAGGATTAGAGTAAATTAATTTATGAGACCTCCTCCTTTTTTATTAGCTATACTTTTGTGCATCAGCAATACCTGTAGTGCACAGGTATACCCAATTTGATTTTATTACTCATCAGGATCTCTACCAGCATATCCTCAAATTGAAATTATTTTAAGCAGGATTATAGTATATTAACCTTTGAGACCTTGTGCTGGTCAAATAATCAATCAAAAGTGTTTGACTTCCCGAGTTCATAACAGTAATTAGATCTCAAATTGGTCAAGAGATGATGGAACTATGATCTAAAAGTTTGTACTTGAAAAAGTCAGAGCCATTCTATGAGCCACTATGCTGCGGCTAAAAGTTATGGAAATGTATTTTGAGTGACTACAAATATACCGTTCACCCACCCACCTTCACTTCCACACATACACAAATATTGTCTGTTTCAAAGTGTTTTTCTACAACTTACAAATATACCGTTCACCCACCCACCTTCACTTCCACACATACACAAATATTGTCTGTTTCAAAGTGTTTTTCTACAACTTACAAGCTATACTAGAGTTTACAGATGTGTTTATCCAAAAGAAGTTGTAGCTGGACATTTATGCAGAAAAAAAGTTGATTGTAAAATTAATGAGTGAATAAAATTCTACCTTTTGGTTGTTTAGTTGGAGGTTTAAAAGGACTTCCTTCTCGAGGTTTGATAACAACAGGAACCCCACCTTGACTGGGATGGGAATATGGTATGCCAGTATTTATAGAAGGAAGTTGACCAAAGATGTCTTGAGGATTCTGCTGGTTTGGCATTTCCATCTCTTCTTGCTCAAACTGTTGACCTTGCAGTGGAGATAGTCCATCTTGCAGTTGACTCTAATTAGATATAATCTCTTTATAATGTTTGGTAGACACGATACATTCTACACACACTTAATAGAATATTTAATTTCTTAAGTGTAAAAAAATATACATCACCAGTAATTGAACTATCAGTTAGCAAGTTCATTTTCACACCTTTCTTCTGTAGCCAGAAATATGATTTCAATCCATAATAGCTACAAACAAGTAATTCTTCAAGTTCCAAATTCAATTTTTGAAATATGAGGTACCCGAGTCATTTATTATAGTATCTTTTTTTGAACATACTAATTCTAATATTACAATATGATTGAAACTTGCTTTTACAGCTGTATCAATTGGTATTATTGATCCAGAAGAAAGGAAAGACCCTGATGTGTTCTCAAGAACATGTCCAAAGTTCTGTTCTTCATCTGCTGACTGATCTTGATGCTTTAGGGTAGATTCATGTGGTTCTGGTATTTCTTTGTTTACTGGCTCTGAAAAAAAAAAAGTACAATTATACTCCATCCAAAAATTTATTTCCTTCTTAACCTTTTTGTATAAAATCTACAACATAAGTAGCAGGTCAAATACTTCGAAAACAAAAAAACAACTAACCACTTATTCAAATTCTTATAGGAAATAGAATACTATGAGGATTTAGAAATTAAACTCTTACAAATTATGAATACAATAAAGATAGAAACTGTGCATTTGTCATTTATCAAAAACAGCATAATAATAATAATAACTACAAAAATTTACCATCATGCTTGTTCTAAGAAAGTTGGATGAGAGGAAGAAAATGTGAAAATAAACAAAATGAAGCTAACAACATCATTCACGTTGTTCAGATAAAGAAAATGTAGCTGCAGAACACATTGCAAGTTTTAAAACAGAAAAATTCACCAAAGTGCTAAGTTGTTTTTCTGAAATAAGTCAAATATAAAGTAATCCTTTTTGATAAAACTGTACATGTATTTGTTATACAATAAAAAGTGCTTGTATTAAAACAAATAACAAATACATGTGCTGATTATTTATCCTTTTGAATGACCCAGGATCAGATTGACAAAAATAAAGTTTCTTTCAACAATTTAATAGTGTGATAACTTAAAGACAAACCTGATTTCTGCCATGACTTGAAACTCAAGAATCTAATAGATGGAAGGATAGAGGTAGCATAAAAATTAAAATGATGCTGAAAGTTATCACTTAGGCTATGAAAGCTCTTGCAATTGAAAAACAAATATGCCAATAAACTGTATCTGTACTCCATACTCCAAGAATTGCATGGTTAAGACACAATGTATTAGTTTCAGTACAATCTTATACTCTAGAGCTCATCAAGGCCTTCTAAGAATGCATACTGAAAACTGCAATGTACCAAGGGCATGATGTAAGATGTGTAGGAACTCCAAAATACAATGAGGGCTAAAGAGAGGTTTTAATAATCGATGGTAACAGCGAGTACTTCATCCTTAAAGCCCTTTCTTCCAGTAAGGATGGTATTTATGTGGTTGACTCTGGTTATTGACTATTACAATGGAGCACAATTTCCACTACAAGAAGCTTTTGCACAACATACTGAGGTCAATGTTTTGCCCTCTTCTCTTTAGATGCTTTCCATAGTCCATCAATCATGTATAGATGATAGCTTTTGAGGGCCTGTTTGAGCAACCCAAAGCACAGAAATCCATAAGAGATGACAGCAAATGATGTAGCAAAAATTTCCATTTGTATTTGCATCTTGGAGAAACTGGTATGTTAAATTCAATATAAGTGGCTAGATGGTTTGTTTGGATGGAGTCATACCTTACTGGAATTCAGTCCATACAAAAATGTTATTTTTGTGCAGTATAGGTGTGCAACACCTGATTACGATAATATGCCAAGTTCACCTTGACATTTTTCTCAGCTCTCAGGGAGTTTAAATTTAGCATTATAGCTGGAAACACATTCATGCTATAAACTGTGCCATTCTTGAAATGTTATATCATTGGAAGGACATAATAAATTGCCCAAGACTTCTGTAGACTTGTTTTGTCCAACATCTGCCATCTTCCATGTACCACTTAAAAGGCTTTCAGTAGTTAGTTTTCCCATTCAACTACGTATTTATGAACATAGCTCTTGCATTGCTTTTCAAGTATTAAAACTCACAATTCTTTTGATTACATGTCCAAAGTACATTCATACTTTTTCTGTAACAGACCACAGAGTTCTTGGATTATTTTGGGAAACAAGTTCTTTAGTTTTCGTCATCACTTTCAGAGTATGACTGGTATTTTTTGTTTGTTTGTTGTTATGCACAAAGCTACACAATGTACTATCTATGCTTTGCCCACCATGAGTACTGAAACCCAGATTTTAGCATAAGAAGTCTTCAGACTTACTGATGAAAAACTGAGGGGTGTATGGCTGGTAGCTGGAAATGGAGTAGCCCCCCCCATCTCCCCCCAACTGGTATTATACCTTAGTTTTATGTATACATTTCAACATTACAGATATCCACTTTCTTTGAAATGCTAAATTTTGTGCTTTGCATGTTTCTACAATTATAAAATAGAATTTTTGCAATGGAAAACCATTTAACGTAAGCCATCCTGATATGGCAGATTTTTTTTTATGTCATCTACATGTACAAAGGATCAACGTCAACTGAAATGCAACAAGAGTATCAAGGCTTTTAACTCTATGTCATATGGTATTGGCAAGTTAAACAAATATGCAGATTGTTATCACAAATTGTGAAAAACCCTCTGTACTGGGGACACGTTCATCAAAATATTACCAATACGATACTTCATGAGTGGTGAGGAATCACAGGAAACACGTGAAGTTCAAAAAATTACAAAATGCAATGTTCAACTGTATTATTTTTTACAAGAATAAGACACAAAGGTTCATTGGAACAAAATCTAAGTGTGAGTAATTGACACTAGGTATGCTGTTAGGGGTTAAGGTCTTCCTAAAGTTAATATTTATTACCTATACAAACTGTCCACACTTTGCACTCTCGTACTTAATACCTACAAATGTTTTCCATACTTGCACTCTTATACTTATTAGCTATACAAGATGTCCATACTTAGCACTCTTGTACTTATTACCTACACAAGATGTTCATACTTATCATTCCCATACTTATTACCTACACAAGATGTCCATACTTAGCACTCTCGTACTCATTACCGACACAAGATGTCCATACTTAGCACTCTTGTACTTATTACCTACACAAGATGTTCATACTTAGCACTCTCGTACTTATTACCTACACAAGATGTCCATACTTAGCACTTTCATACTTATTACCTACACAAGATGTTCATACTTAGCACTCTCATACTTATTACCTACACAAGATGTTCATACTTTGCACTCTTGTACTTATTACCTACACAAGATGTCCATGCTTAGCATTCCCGTACTTATTACCTACACAAGATGTCCATGCTTAGCATTCCCGTACTTATTACCTACACAAGATGTTCATACTTAGCACTCTCGTATTTATTACCTACACAAGATGTTCATACTTTACACTCTCGTACTTATTACCTACACAAGATGTTCATACTTTGCACTCTCGTACTTATTACCTACAGAAGATGTTTATACTTTACACTCTCGTACTTATTACCTACAGAAGATGTTTATACTTTGCACTCTCGTACTTATTACCTACAGAAGATGTTTATACTTTACACTCTCGTACTTATTACCTACAGAAGATGTTCATACTTTGCACTCTTGTACTTATTACCGACACAAGATGTCCATACTTAGTATTCTCGTACTTATTACCAATATAAGATGTTCATACTTAACACTCTCGTACTTATTACCTACATACTTAGCACTCTCATACATATCACCTACATAAGATGTTCAAACTTTGCACTTGCGTACATATCACCTACACACAAGATGTTCATACTTTACACTTCCGTACATATCACCTACACACAAGATGTTCATACTTTACACTTCCGTACATATCACCTACACACAAGATGTTCATACTTTACACTTCCGTACATATCACCTACATACAAGATGTTCATACTTTACACTCTCGTACATATCACCTACAAGATGTTCATACTTTACACTTCCGTACATATCACCTACACAATATGTTCATACTTTACACTTCCGTACATATCACCTACACAATATGTTCATACTTTGCACTCTCGTACATATCACCTACACAGTATGTTCATACTTTACACTTCTGTACATATCACCTGCACAATATGTTCATACTTTACACTTCCGTACATATCACCTGCACAATATGTTCATACTTTACACTTCCGTACATATCACCTGCACAATATGTTCATACTTTACACTTCTGTACATATC